ATTTTATGAGTCTCTCGGATTCGCCCCAGAATAGAGCGACAACGAAAAACTAAATAAAATCCCTTCGGCGGAAACAGTACTGAGAGGATTATATATAGGCAATGTCTCAGCCTCACAATTCCTCAGAGTATTACTGTTTTCACGAGGCAAACCCGACTTTATTAAACGTCTCATTTCGTTTATTTATATCGATATTTACACGATATTTAGAATTTACCTACGCGTTTATTTATTCTAAGGCATTAGTATCGCCTTTATTAGACCGAATCTTACACATTTTAAAGTTAGCAAAAGTATTAATTACTTAGACTACTTAAGCGTAAAGGTAAGTTAACTACCACAACATTTTTTTTCTCTTGTCTAAGCTAGTCGTTAAGAGACAAGCTAGTAGTCATCAGTTAAGATTATGACCAAGAAAGACAACACTCCTTTTAAGAAGCGTAGAGCTGAAAAGAAGAAGATGGAGAGAGCAGTCGCTAGCGCTGCCGCAGCTATTACTGCTGCACAAGCAACCGACGCCGCTGTTGATGCATTTAAGCGCACTGTAGCCAAAGTACTTGCCTCTGACAATTATAGTCAAAAGGACAATGCTTCAGATAAGGAAGTAGCCACTCCGCTTAAGGAGACTACTCCTTCTGACAGAGCCCGAGGGCCAACTATTGCCTCAACTTCAAAGCTTGCATTAACGAAGCCAAGAAGTGAGACAAGGGATACGTCTCAAGACGCCCCAACCCATTCTTCTGACGAAAACCAGAAAGGAAAGTCCCCAATTATGAGGGCGTCCCCAATTATAGGGGACAAGGACAAATCTCAAAAGGAACCTATTTTGGAACCAGAAGAGGAGGCAAGCTCAAGTAGCAAACCCGAATCTACGTCCGAGACTTCTAAGCCGAAGCACATAAGTAAGTTAATTACTGAATACGCTGATCTTAAGAATCAGTTAGCTACTATTATGAAAGACTTGACTGTCGAACGTGTAGATCAACTAGATAGATCAGGAAAACATACACAGCACTAACGCGAGCATGTTTCCCAGGGCATTACTGAAGTCCTACAGAAGTGGACAGAACGTCGACAGGCAATTACGCCCAAAGACTCAAGCTCGACACCTGAATCATATGATCTAGAGGTGCACAGCGTCGATATACCGTACAAGGCATTAATGCCAGAAGAACAGGCTAATCATTCGCCTGTTCTGACACCCAGCCGTGAGTCACCTGTCCTCAAAGGTATTATATACCGA